CCAGCAACAGCGTGAAGGTGTAATAAATTCGCCAGAGTATTGGTACAAAAGTTGATTGACTCATAAATATCTACACTGAGCCGAAACACCGAACATCAAAGTCAACGAGTTGTCTTTCACGGTCTCAAGGTGCTTTTCCACCGACGATGCTAGACGAAAATTGAAATCTCGCCGGCAGCCTATTTCCACCAAAAATTGCTACCTCGCGCTGTAATAGAGAAGCGACTGTTATAGAGAAACGACTTACTATGAATCCATGAATTAGATACTTTATTTACAAATATTACGTCAGATTGATAATTCAAAAAGAATGAGGTCGATGAAGGCGTGACGCTAATCAGTGTAATATAAAAATACGACATCTTAGTCTCTCTTCTGTCTTCACGAGTGAGGCGGCGGCTATCTTGGAGGCATTGAATGTTATTGATTCTCATAATCTTAATGAATGTGTAATTTTTTCGGATTTAAAAAGTTCTCTTCAAGCTACTCTATCTAACCAACTACGCAGCAAAATTAAATCTCCAGTCATCCTAAAAATTAAACAGACCCTGTACTGTCTTACTGCTAGAGAGGTCGAGATCTCGTTGGCTTGGGTACCCAGTCACATTGGCATCCGAGGGAACGAGACAGTGGCGCAATACGCCAAGGAGGCGACCGTCTCAGGCTGTCTCTCATTATATAAATGTTACGCTCACGACCTGACTTCGTTAGCTAAGGATCGTCTAGATTTGAACCGGCATGCGCACTGGGTTCGAACTAGCCAAGTGAAAGGCGCGCACTGTGCCGACGTTCAAAATAACATCCCAGTTTTCAAGGTGCGATTGAATAGGCATCTTCTGGGCGAGCTCGTACCAACGTAGACCTCATCTTTGCTCTAGGGCTAGGTAGTGGTCAAGAGTACGTCCATCCAAAAAAAAAAAAAAGTTAAACCGTGGTTTCTTAAGTTTCGCGAAGCTGGTAAGGCAACCACTTCAACGATCTGTAGACTGAGACTAGGCCACTCTTGTTCCCCTGTATTCCTCAATAATATTCGTGTCAGAGACAACTATTTGTGTGAATGTGGTCTGGACTAGGGCCCTTGATCACATATTCTTTGAATGTCCTAAATTGACTTCCTCCAAGTATGACCTCCTTCCTTCCTTCATTCCTCGTCCTATTAATCTTAAATCCCTCCTTCTTTACGGGTATTCTCCCTTCATTAACATTTTGTGTGATTGTATACGCTCTAATAATATAATGCTTTAGTCCGTTGTTTGTCCATGATTGCTTTTTTTACCCCAGGTATGATCTCCACAACAGCATTCCGTCGAAGAGATTCATCTAAAAATAAATACCTTGCTGCTACCGAAACGTTGACGTTATTGACCACTATCAACTGACAACATTAATCGAAACTGACACTGGCCCAAGCCTAGTGGCCGCCATTAAGGAAATAGAATAGAACTCTATCTAAGCTAAAACAACAAGGAGCCATTACGAAGACTAACACAAACTCAATTTATTTCCATAATACGTTTCACTTCAAAACCGAATGACGATTAACTTCTTATATTGAACGAAATAAATTCATCCATATGAATAATTTAAAATGAAAACATTTTTAAATAGTAGAACATGCAAATTGATACCGCCCTATGGGTACCCATTTAAAAGGTTTAAAAAATGTCCATTTTCTGATACTTACAAACCTTCACATAATATGTACTTACAATTTTAGTTTCAGTCTTATAACAAGGCTATGACCTGACCTGTGAATTTTGGAAATTACCCCTCGGCTTAAGCGTAACCCATGAATATTGTAAAAAGTTTCTAATTGCAATATTTGGGCGCCTCCAAAATAAAAGCTTCAACATGCATTTTCTACAAAGTGGACAGTCGCGGGCGGTTGGTGGCGCGCGAACATTTTATTTATTCAACTAAGTCATTATACATAGGGCGCACTATAAGTTTTCGGAACTGGCCACTTGCATAAACAATATTTAAAAAGTAATTACAACATTTGAAAATGAACTCTTTGGCTGTAGAATACAGTTTGTTTCATCTGACTGACATTGTGGCGTCATTTTAGAAATTGGTTGTCTACATCACCATGGATTTTACACGTGAAAATTTTCGTAGTATGATTTTCTACGGCTTTAAGTGTAATTTAACAGCTCAGCGGAGCTTCGCTCGGCTTCAAACTGCTTTTGGCGATGAAACACCATGCAAGATGACTATTTATAGCTGGTTTATAGAATTCAAACGCGGTCGTGTGAATCTCAGTGATGAATTTCATGATGGTAGCCCGCCCACTGCTGTGAACAAAAAAACTTCGATGCTGTGCGCCACATGATCAAAACAGGCACATGTGACATATCGTAAGATTCGGGCATCTTTAGGCATATGCATGAGTCAAAAAACAATCAATACTACACAAACATTTGGGTGTGAAAAAGCTGTGCTGTCGGTAGATCCCACACAATTTGACTGAGGCTCAAAAAACGGATCGCGTCACTTGGTGAAATGCCATGCTTACTAGATTCAACGAAGGTGCGTCAAATTTGGTGTGGGATATAGCAACAGGTGATGAAACATGGATTTATAGTTACGATCCCAAAACAAAGCAGCAATCGAGCGTATGGGTCTTTCGAGATGAGCCTAAACCAACCAAAGTGGCATGCGTCCAAAGTACCTCTAAGCGGATGATTGCTTCTTTTTTTTTTAAAACAGGACACGTGGCTACTGATGCTTTGGAGAATCATTGAACCGTGAATAGTGATTGGTACACGACCATTTGTTGGAAATTATTGACAAACTCCGTAAAAATAACCGTAAACGTCGTATCATCTTGCACCACGATAATGCCAGTTCTCACACGACCAGACAAATGAATTTTTGAAGGTGAACAACGTTGACCTTATAAGCCATACCGCGTACAGTCCCGACCTGGCGTCTTGTGACTTTTATTTATTTCCAATAAAAATTAAGAACCAGTTACGCGGACAACGATTTTCAGCACCTGAAGGGGCTGTCGAAGAGCATGAAAAATATGTTTCAGAGATTGTCACGGAGGAGTAGCATAAATGTATTCAATATTGGTTCATTCGTATGAAAAAGTGCATTAACGCTAACGGAGAATATTTTGAGAAACAATAAATTCATTTCTGACCATTTATAGTATTTTTTCTTATTCAATCCGGAAACTTATAGTGCGCCACACGTACTACCTATTAACGTGGCCGCGACTCAGAAATAAAACAGAGTCGTGGAAAATGACACTTCGAATAGCTGCAGTGGCACGTCTTTGGTGCAATTTTCGTACAATGTTTATTCGTGTCGCGACTATGGCGCAGCAGCTGCGCTTCTTAATATATGAAAATTAGTATTAACACCATATTAACACTGAATATTGGAAATGATATTTATCGGCTTAATACATTATATTCGTCTGTTACTGTAAAACTCGAATATGTCCGAAACTTTAATTTCTATAACACTTACAAGAATTTGTTCCTTTCTATTTGGATAATTAGGTAGATCTATATATACAGGTATCCAGCAGCGACCTTTATTTATTTCTGGTGTAATCGATATTAGATTTACACACATTCCCATGAAATAGGCAGACGCACATAACATTATCAATATGATGCAAAGCTGCCATTTGAACACCTGTCAAATTTTAGTATGTTTTCTTATTTTGATTATGATCTTTCAATGCGAGTGTCGTCACGCGTCGCCAAGCGTTGTAGTTAAAAAACAGGACGCGACGCGACGCGACGCTTAGGCTGTGCGCCAGTGTGAGTTGAGTCTTAATTTGTGTACGTATCAAAGTCAAAGACATCTTGAGAATATTTGTGACAAAACATACTGAGAAACTTTATCACACGCTGGGAATTCAGATTCCCATCATTATATGCCTGTTAAGGAGACTTAAGAACTTATGTCCTATGATCGGCATGGCATTTGCGATGTTAAAAATCTTCCGTAGCATCAAAAATTGCGTCATACAGCGGTAATCGCATTCCATCAGATGTTTATCGGTTGTGGTGTGACTGTTTATCGGTTTACTTACAATAAAAATGGAATGCTTAGTAAATGCCTATGTTAGCAATTTTGAACATTGCTAGGTCTAATGATAAAAAAAGACTTGTCAAAGTTTACTGCAACTTGAAACGGGAATAAGAATTATTTCCATCTTTTCCAATGATACATACAAATAGAATCTCTAGATAGTAAATTAATGTATACCAAGTGACGGGATGAACAATTTGTGCACCTGGTGGTGAACGACACGCCTGTCCATAACAGTTGCAGTGCCACTCAGAGCTTTAAATCGCAAAGATGTGAGAGACACTGCCACTGCGCCTGTCACAACATAAGTTGACAAGTCCCACGTGCCAGTGTTTAAGCGCCACCTTTGAAACCGGAACACAGCAATGCCCAAATTACTGGTCGGGGGCCGAAATAGGTAACGTAGACAGTATTTCTCTGGATTAACTCTTTCATAAGGAGCTCTACTGCTACTGTATCATACTTATTAGATACATTTAGGTATATGTATCTAAAAAGTATGCATGTAGTTGCTAGTAATAATATACATAAAGGTAAGCTTACCGTGCCATATGCAAAAGAAGTGTTGTGGCTATTACTAAAATAATTAAACCACCCAATAATAATATAAAGCTGTAAACATCTAGACCCTATGAGACTGAACATATACGCTTCAGTGTCTACAGCAATAAATTTGTATACGAATTTGTATAATGGTATAAAATTAACAATATCTATAATAAAAGTGCGAGTCATGTAGTAAAAAAAGCATTTCTTTACGGAACTTATAATTTTTCCATCTTTATCATAATGTGGTTTCTGTGAAAAAAAAATGTTGTCATTGTGACAAACCAGTAGCATTTCGGGTCGTATTCCAGAACGTAACTCAAGAATCGCGAATGAAGCATTGCCAGAGCATTTATTCAAGTCTCAAGCATTTCGTTTATTCTTGAATAGTACTCAATGCTCTAGTCAGCTGAAAGGTGCGATGATGTGTAGCGACGCTGTGAAACAGAGTGATAGTTTCCATTAAAGCTTTGCGAGGTAGCCAGGCGATCCGAAGATGCCTAGCGGAGTAGTGAAAACTGTGTAGCTGGGCAGTACGAGGACGAGTAACGAACTCTTCAGCTGTGCGCGGGTTGGGAGCGGAGGCGACAGCGAGCGTGCAGGCCGTCGCTCGGCATATCACTTAGTTTTCGTACCAATAGCTCTAGTTTCCTACGCCGTTTTGCACACATCGCATGGACGCATTCCTCACTCGCGTCTCTCGCACACATTTTTCGCTCGCGTACCTCGCACACATTCCTCACTCGTGT